TGTTCCCACAGCCAGAAAATGTGATCCTCTCCTCATGGAAAATGGGTGAATTTCAGAAATAAAATCCAAGCTTGGACCCATCTCTAATTTTCATTCATTGATTCTCTATTTATCCATACAGTGAAGGAAACACTAAAAATCTCTGTGTACATATGAAGGCAACCATCTGTAAGCAAAAGGACATTATCTGAATGTAAGAAAGAAAAGGCAACAGAAGGATCTGCTCCTGTAGTAATTGCTGTCTGCTGGTACAGTGTCATTTTGAGTTGTCAAAACTTGAGACCTAAAATAAACCCCAGCAAGTTTTCTTCAATGCTTCTCTGTGTCACACTACTTCTCTTCTGAATTGCCTTCATAAATTCAAATTCCTCAACAGCCTTGTTACTGACTTTCAGGGAAAATGCCAGAGAGACAGATTTAATATGCAGCTCCAAGACACTTCCTTACCCTGCATTATTACCTCCTCTACTGCAAGAACACTGCTTCTCCTGGGAAGAATTTGATTTCCTTACTTATCAACACCTTCCTCTGCACATCAGAATGTTTCCTCTCACTCTCCTTCAGTCACATAGTAAAAAAACTCTAGAAAAGGTGAAGTGTTGTATGTGCTAATGAAAGGCTGATAAGGAATTGACTGCTAATAGAATAGATGCTGCATCCCATATTGCTGTGGGATTTGCTACCACCTATCATGCCACAACACGTGTGCACAAGTAACCAATATACCATGGAGAGGCACTTGTGCACCTCTCTATTAGCCTGAAACAGATTTTTCACCATCCGAGCAGTGTCCCGTTAACAACTTACCTAATGGCAACCAGCACCAAAATGAGTCAGTGTGTTTGGCAAATTCAGATCATTAACCATGAGAAAGTGCTTCAAGTAGATCAATGGAGAAACCCATACCCCAGAGAACATTAAACAGAGAAGTCTTATTAGTGATGAGTAAACAGGTGCAATATCCCTCTAGATTTGGCAGGATGGACCCTCTCATTTCCCACAGAGAATTCCTATCTGAAAGACTAGGTCCCACTTCTCACAACAGAGAGCAAGCTGGACTCTTGACATCCTATTCCAGGTACCCGCTCACCAAAAGGGAGCTCTGTAATAAGAAATAAGCAGGAAGATGAAATACACGGCTCCTCCAGCTGCAGACTCACCACTGTGACAACACAGCAGGAGCATGCAGAGATTAAGAACAATCCATGCATAGATCTGTACTGTACACAGTTGATAAGGGAAGACTGGGGCCCTCTGGGAGGCACTCCAATGGTCTGCAAGCCAACTGGGCTTCACTATGGTGAAAGCTTCACTATAGGTAGTGGCTATGGTGCTTTTAAGTAGGAAGGCAGACCAAAAGTAAAATAGATAAGTGAGTTTTTTACACCTAAAAAAAAAAAAACAAAAAAAAAGACAAACCAAGCCAAACCCCCAAAACCTGAAGTTACAGGCAGATCATTCTAGTTAACAAAGTCACAAAAAAAAAAAAAATTGAGAAACAAACTTAAGATAATTTTATGCCAGGCCTGCAACTCTTCCACTCGAGCAGCGGTGACAACTCACAGGCAATGGAGTAGTTGCATTGCAATGGTGGTCGTATACCAACTTGAAATATCTGCAGAGGCACTTACACCACAGTTTTGGAACATCTTGTCTAAATGTTTTGACCATTTGAACCAGCTATTTCAAACTTTTTTTTTTTTAAAGTGACAAAATGCAAGACAAAAATACAGGTTTCCACTGACCCAAACTAGTATTTTTCATGTTCTACATGAAAATGCAAATCAAAGTATATTTCCTGTTAACCAAAAATGGTGTTTTTTTTAAAGCATGGCTTAATAAGTTTTTTTTAAAAAACTTAATTGCCTGCATTGCAGTATAAAGAGCACATGAAGACCACACTTGGTTCTATGTCCAACAGCTTAAATCAGAGTTTCCAGAGACACAGTTTCCAGGATATCCCAAAGCTGCTTGAAGAACTTACATTGCATATTTTCAGCAATCCTCCACTTCTGTTCAGGGTTCTCAGTCCTAGATTTTATCCTAGAGATATGACATATATGTAGCTCTTCTCCATATTTCATTTTTATGAAACTGAAGTGACTTCTTTGATATAAAATATGTAATTTCTTCTCATAAAAGGCCAATACAAGGGCCATTTGACAGGCCAGGATGTTGCACTACTGTTTGAGATGCCTATCTCGACAAGTGAGTCTGGCACTACACACAGCGCTCACTTGGCTTCATTTTCTTATCTATTTTATGTGCATAAACAGCTGGAGATGGACATATAGAGGCTTTAACCTTCTGCGGCACATCTAAAAAAGTACACAACCAAAATCTATGCAGCTGTGAGTGCCAGAAAGCCATCTGTATACAAATTAATTGCGTTTGGTTTGAATAGTTTCCATTTTTATCCTGCCATCTACATTTGCACCTATTCAGTGGTTCAGTTTGGACGCAGCAGGGACATGAGCCATGCTCCAACCCAGCTTTTCCATCTCCCAGGCGTGCTTCTCTGCAAGCCGTCCTGCAAAATCTTTCCCTCCTTTGAGCATTTTCTTCCCTCTATCTGTATCAGAAATCAAGAAAACAAGCCTAAGGAATGCTATTTACACCAACACTTCTGTGGAGTGCATTACTAGCCTGAGTGGATGACAGAAGCAAAGTAGAGGTTTATTTTCTGGTTTCCCAACCCCACTTACTTTCCAGTGACAAAATCGAGTTGTTCAGATGCAACAAATTCAGCTCTGAGCAGAAGGAACAGCAATGTCAGCTTATGAAGCACCTGATTGCTTTGAAAAACAACCAGCTGTTCCTTTTGTTCATTAAATCTGTACTTACGCATATGTATGCATGTATAGTAGATTAACAATGCAAATTTTATACCAAAAAAAATCTCTGACATCTACTTAAAACCTTGCTACTAATTACAGATGTGATTCAGACCAGTGATGTACTTCTAATTAGCAAAAATAAGCAGTCCTGTTTTCCTTGAAGGAAACGAGTATGGCCTAACTAGAGAAAATTAAATTAAAGCTAACACTAAACACTTTTGCTTTGTACCCTCTAAACACTTTTTGTTAGCTCTGACAGATCTTTATTAATGACCCTACAAAAGCATCAATATTATCTAAGGAAATCCACTATTCAAATATCTTCATCTGTACATCTCATCTCTGAATGTCGTTTCTGTCAGAGATTGAGTGCAAAGATGGAAGTTGTTTTACAGGCAGGCTTAAGCTTTCAATATTTACTGGAAACAAAACAAGTAAATGGCACGCACAAGCACTTTTCTATATTTACAGAAAGTGCTCTCAAAAAAATAGAGCCATGTCATGCAAGTCTGTCCTTTTATAAATATATAAGTATTTTAAACAGTGCTTGCTGGCTGTAGGAACAATAACAACAGCCTCGCCTTAAGTCACTGTGGCCTTCTAGGTGGTATTACTAAACTAAAACACTATTTATTTGTGACCTTTCCTGTTTATTTGACATTACTAGTCAAAAGTACAGTGTCACCCTGCAGACACGCATAATCACCTTTATTTTCCAGTCTAATTGAGAAATGGAGCTGTTAATGCCAAGAAACATTAAGGAAAGCTGCTCCACTGAACCTGCTCTGTCTAGCTACATGGTGTTAGATTTTTGTGACAAAAAACTGCTCCACACACACTCAAAGGAGCACAGGGGATCATCAGTTTGCAAGGAGAACCCAAATCTTTTCCTGCCCCATTTCCCCCATTCCATCACCCCCATTCCACCTGCAGCACACAGTGAGCCTCACTCTGAGGCACTGTGGCAGCTCAGGGAGCCCCAGTAACCCCTGGGAGACCCAGCCCCACAAAGACAGCTTTCACCTTGGGGACCAGAGGAGTCACACATTACAAGAAGTCCATGGGAGAAGATATTTGGATCACCCCACAGCCTGTCCTTATGGACAAGGCCACCAGAAGAGGTGGCTATCACAGGGACTAGGGGAGTCCCAGCCAGCTGCTGGAGGGTCTGGAGGGCCTGGGTGTAGATTGGGACACCTGCATGGAGAGAGAGGATCCAGAACCAGCTAGTGGATAATTGGCAGTGGAAGACCAGCTGCCAGGGGGTCTGTATTGTGCATTTGTGTCCATGTCTGTTTGTCAGGGAGTTTGTTCTGGAAGCTGGACCAAAACAGAGGCTTTTGCAGCTCATATGTTCAGGTGCCAGCACCAGCAGAGTCAGAATATCTCGGGAACAGTGGCTATCCATGCTGTACACACATACACATTATATACTCCCTACTAAGAGGTGTAAGTCCTGGGCAGCCAGCGAGGGGAGCAGGACATGGTCATGGCTGCTGTTCAAGCTTGCATGAGTACAAAGTGTGCATCTGCGCAGTTGGCTATGTATACAATGTATATAAATGTACATTGTGTGTGCGCCCACTAGCATGCCCCTGTAGGAATACAGCCTAGTCCTGCTTGGACCCAGGGACATGCAGCTCTGGCAGCTTCATTTTAACTGGACTGCTGGATTCAGCCTCCCCATAACACTTGGAAGTTCCCAATAAGGGCGCCATCCATCGCACATAAACTAGCATTTCTTTGGAAATAAAGGGATGTAACAGAACTGGCAACTTTCCAACAATCAGTGCGGTCACAATCCTCTTGCAGTAGTTGTGACATAAGATAGAAAGTCCAGACTGAAAGAACCAGTGACTTTTTTTTTTTTGTCAAAAAAAGCACATTAATTGCCTAGCATCTGCTATTGCTGTCTTCTGTCATTTTCTTGTCTACACACAGCAGCACATTCTTCTAATCATCACCAAAACAAAAAGTAAAGGAGCCGTTTCAGGTCAGACCACTGCACCACAGCACTGACTCAAACTTTACTTATTGGCTAACTTAAAACTAAATTTCAGCATATACTAATAGATAAGGAAACATGCTCTTGTATGTAAGAATAATGGACAATTTTAACACAATTTATGAACTCTTCTATTTCTCCTATCTGCAGTAACAGAGAACTTCAACAGTGATGGGTCATCAGAGTCTAATATTTAGGGATGATTCAAAGACAGATAATCTGATCTGCCTCACAACAGCCTTATGCTTCACCTACTTTAAAAGAGCTACTTCTAATTTGTACCAAAACAAGATCAGCATCAGGTCCCTGGATTCCAGCAAAAAAAGTCCCACAGCACCAAGACAATGTTATAAAGTATCGTATACCACATACACTTGAGGTAAACAAAACCCTTTGGCTAAGTAAATGACCAGAGAGGATTACAGCTGTTGGCTTCATGATTTCCACTGTATGCAAGAAACATAATTTTTTCGAATACAGACAGTACCAAACACATTTCTTCCCCTCAGGACAGAAGGGGAGAAATTTCCACACCATGGAAAACAACAGCACTGGCTGAATAAGAAGAGTCTACAAAGACATCATGAATTAGCAGGAAACTACTTTGGAAAGATAAGATATTAAACATTTTCTGTGGGGAATAAGAACACTGGAGATTATTTACTTTGCTTTAATTACTTTGGCACACTGCTAGATTAGTTTTTGTACGTTACTAGATTTCCATACCATCATTTAACAAATGCAAAGAAGCGAGTTCATGTTCTGAATATTTAAAGTTCACCCTATCCATATTATCATGTCCTGTGCTGGAGTTTCTGCTACTCAATTCACAAATAAATAAGAGGGCTACAGCTTCACTTTAAAAATTATTACTACTACAGTGATGCAAGCAGCACCCTTAATTTCTGGGTATGTCTTTCTCACTTGCCTTGCATCTATCTAGATGCATTTTGACAAGAATTCACTGTTAACATATACAATATCAAGCAAGGATAAACATCAACTTTCACAGATGCTTTTGATCTAGATTACATTAGGTCATCCTCCACTCGTCTGAACACTTCATTTTGATGGAAAATTGATAATAAGCCAATTTCCAGAGGGCTATAACTTATAAAAACACAGTGTAACTAATACGTGTAAGAAGTTTCCATGAAGGCTTTATGAAGTGTTTAATAGGCTTTATAGTTACAGACCATATTACTGAACAACAATAATAAAATAGCAGTTTTAGACTCTCCAATAACTAGAGCACACATAAACCCATGATATGTATAAAAAATATCACTAGTCCCATGGTTTTGATACTAAGATGAGATTTATGAGAGCCTGTGCGGAAATAAAGATCTTGTCTTTTCCTTGGCTCTTGCCTATTGCAAACCACTTAATGACTGCCATTTACAAGAAATCCAAAATTTCCTGCCTTGAAAAGAGCTGTCTGTACCAAAAACAACTGCAAAGAGTACCACTTCAGTACATCTAAACAAACAACAGTCTATTCAAGAGCCAAACAGAGGTTAGCAACAGGATTTTCACCTGAAATTTACCCAAACTAATTTGCCACATTTTATTTCACATTAGGAGGTTTGGCTTTGAGTACTGTTAAAAAGCTTTGGACTTCCCCGCAGCATTGACAGAGAGGGATTTTTCTTTTCTCTTCTCTATGTGTGCAGTATCTAAGATACTCTTCTCAAAAATCATGAAAATTCCAAAAATAATGAATACCATTATAACAATAGAATGAAAACTGACCAAACAGTAAATACCCATGCAGCCGTAAAAAATTCAAATGTTTGATGCCTGAAGGATTACTCCACACAACATGACAACAGAGTTAATTTAAAGCCAACTGGGAGAAATTAAATGGCTCAGGTTAATTATTGCTTTACAGCTGAGCTGGAGGCATGAAAAACAGAGCAACTGAGAAGAGCGTGGAGATAAGCAACCAGGGTTTCAGCCTGTCTCCTCCCTACTTCTGTCTGCTCTCAGGCCAGGCACCACGACAGGGCTCTTCAGCAAGCAAAGAGGCCACTTCAGAAGTCCCTCTCTTCCAAGAGCTCGTCTCTTTGCCCTGCTCTTGCCCTGTGCTCCATGCCCAGTGCACCCATCCTTCCCAGGACAAGGCAGACAGGGGCTCTCACCAAGTCAGCCACTGAGATCTTCCCTGCCACTGCTACCAAAGCACGAGCAAAACTGGCAAAACCAGTAAAGCTAGGAAACATTTTAGAAGTGGCAATTCGTAAAGGAGATTTTGAGAAAGATGGTTCATTGTCAAGAGAAAGGAGAACAGCAAAGGTTCTGGGAGACAGGCATTTATAGGGTTCTTCGTCAAAAATATGAGCTTTGCAGCACTCTGTGATAGAAACATGAAACCAAACAACAAATTTACTGGCTTACAGCAAGCAAAGTAGGAAAGGATGAGCCCAGAAAGATACATTAAAAACACATAGTTTTTAATATATCCCTACATATTTAAATATCAGTACTCTAAAAATACTAGTTACAGTTAACATCTCATTACATATTACTAAGAAGATAACATTTGCTGTTAAAGTGAAAATATTTGTTTGAAACTAGTTTGAAACATGTAGGAAGCATATATCTTGCCCAACACATATTTAAATTTTTATGCAAGAGGAACCAAAATCTTCTCATTGAAAGGATGCACATTTGGATACTATGACAGGTTATACTCTCCAGCAAAATTTAAGGACCTCAGGAGAGGCTTAGGGATTAGACAGACCTCTTTTTTCTTTTCTTAAATTTTAAATGAGAGCTGGAAGACAAAGAGTATCTAGTACACATAAAATTCCTTCCGAGTGGGAAAAAAAATTATCTGTAAATGACAAGGGCTTCCTGAAGAAAACTGCAGATCAGATACCAAGATATTTCCTTGCTAAGAGAGTGAATAATTCAGTTACCAGTCACTGATCTCTGAAATGGCTATGATCCATCTGCTAAGATCAGGGAATTGCAAGTTTGTGTGTTAGCTCCTGGCTTTTTTATATTTGAGTAATTAAGTCTGTGCCAAAAAGCAAGGACATGTAGGAGGTTCAAGGACAGTATCAATTATTGTCTTCACTGACAAGGCATTAGTTTGCAAGGCTTTACAGAAGGCAGCCTAAAAGTTCTGAGTACTTGCAACTTCATTACCTAGAAAACACTGTCATCTATGTTTAAGGTAAAATTTAAACCCTCAATTATCTTTAATTTAAATTTGCAAACCTGAATGCCAAAGGAACTCAGTTTGCTCAGCAGACTTTTCAGTCTTGGATATGCACAGACTTGGATATGCACCTTAGCCAGCAGCTTCCTCACCTTTCTAGCAGAGCTGCGCCAGGCTGTAGTGGAACAGTCTCCTGGCCACCATCAGGTCTGGCAGAATTTCGTCTTTCTGTGGACAACAAATGCTCCAGAGCTGGGTAAGAGTTGCCAAGGCGAGCTCAGCAATTTCTCATTGTTAATCCCAACAGTAGCACTGACTCTGATTAGCTCTCAGGGGAATCCAGCTGAAGATCATTCCCTCCAAGCTGAACAGAAGAAATCAACAGGTGATGGTAATGTACTTCTGGTGAAACAAAACATCAAGGACAGGACTGCTTTTTCTCTCTATCATGCTGTTGTAGATATATGAACAGATAGACAAAAACCACTACTGTAGATTCCCATTTTATATTATTTTAATGATTATTTACAGAAAGAAATATTTAAAATTCCAGTTGCATTAATCATAAGATTCTACACATAACCTAGAGAAACTTCAAAAACATGCATTCACATATATATGTTCTACAAAAAAACCCCAAATGCACACATCAGCGACCTACAATTCCCAAAAAAAAAAAGCTACATAAAGGACATATCCTCAAAATATACATATGTTACACTTGAAGATTTCTTTTTCATTTTTAAAAATAAAATAAATATTAAAAGTTGCATTATAATGTACTTTTGCCTGAGAAACAAATAAAAGGATGCTAAGCAGAGGTTTTACTGCTGTCTATAGCTACCTAAAAGAAGGGTATAGAGAAAATAAAGCCAAACTCTTCCCAAAGATACAAGGTGGCAACACAAAAGGCAACAAACACACTTAGTGATAAAGGATATTGTCACTGAATATAAGGGGGTGGAAAAATTGCCAAAAAGAAGGGTCATACAGTGACAGAAATGCCTTCTGTACTCACAAAAGTTGGGATATCCATCCTTTGAGGTGATCGAAATCCAACTAAGATTCTGAGTAATCTGATGGCCCTACTTTAAGAAGCAGTTGGACCAGATGAACTTCAGAGATCCTCAAGCCTTAAATAGTTCTGATTCCATGTTTTTTTTTTGAGCAGAGTAAAATAAATTTGTAGGGACAAGGCTGTTCAAAGAGCCTGATTTTTGCGATGCCTTAAAAAAACATGTAAAAGTACAGAAGTTTACTCCTGATTATATAGTTCTGCATCTAATGCAATGGAAATTCACCTCTATTGAATAAATTATAAACGACTGAATATTAGGTCTTTAAATAACATAGTGAACATCAGAGATCACGCAGAAATGTCATTCTTCAGGCTCTCAGTAATAGGAATCAAAACTACAGTGTGCATCTTCCCCCTGATTCCATTTGATTAGATAAGTCATAAGGAGACCCTTTGAGCCATGAAAAGGGAACAGACCTCACTATGACAGCTCTTCCTAGAACTGGTGAACTAAAGCACTTCAAAGAGAAAAATGACACTATTTCACAACTCGAGACTCCCAAATGTTGGCCAACACCCAAGACTGAGATGGGGGCTTTGGAACTAAAAGCTGCTGTGTTATAAATGAGCTAAAGGACACAACTTTATACATAAAAGAAAAAAGATAAAAGAGGTTTAAACTTACTTGGGCATGAGATCCAGAAAAGAACATGGAATATATATTTGCCCATAGTTTACAATTTCACTTCTGCTTTATCCAGCTTTCAAGAAATGTACTTCACCTGAAGTATCTTGGCTCTGAACAAAGGGCCGGAACGCCGCAGAGTCTGGCTGTGCTCCCACCTTGCCTCCATGGAGGTCCAAGCTCAAGGCCCCACTCCCCCTTTCAGATGGCAGCACCAGAGAAGTAACTACAGCTGTTCTAAATGTTAGCATTGTTAACTGTTTCACTGCTGTTCAAGACAGACACTGTAGGGTTTCACTCTTCTGCTGGCAAGTCAAAGACACTGTTGCCAAAACCACAAGGTTTAAAGCCTCCCTGTGCAGCAGAATTTCTTTAGCACAACACTCACTTCTCTTAAGTTCAAGTAAACCTAAAGTCTGGCACTCTGACCTCATCAGAACAGTGAAAAATCAATTTATTTAAATGGAAAATAAATACTCAGAGATCAAATATCCTAGCTGTAACTCCACATCTTTTATTTAAGGAACCCTGGTATGATAAAATTCTAAAATGGGACACAATTCTTAATCTGCCACATCAAAAGCATGACTGCCTTCTAAACCCTTGGCAAGGAAACCAGTCTGAGCACAAGAAGCCTGGGTGAAGAGTTACAAGGCTCTTATTTTCACTGTCACAAATGCTGACTGAAATTGTATGTGCTGAAATGGAACTACAAGATCAAAGAAGTAAGTTTCACAGTGAAATCTGAAAGACGTCATTCCAGTCCTGTGCGAGACACAAAGTGGCTGGCAAAGTTGCATCTCCAACACAAACAAGCTCCAGCTCAGGAGCACTAAGGAAAAGAAACACAGTGGATGGTCCTAACTTACTGTTTCAAATACCACAATCAGTGCCACCCTCACAGCAACACAGAAAGAACTTGCTAGACGTAGAAACAAAAATACTTTTAACTGACCCTATTCATGATGAGACATTTTTCTATTTTAGATTTTGAAGATGCTGAGGAATTTGGTTTCCAGAGCAAGTGGGCAGCACTGTGTAAGCAAATGGACAGGAATGGAGCTCATATGAGGAAAATGAGGAAAGCATCTCTACACCCTAATATATTACATTAACTGAAAAATACTTTTAAGTCAGGTTGGTGTGGAAAAAACCAAAAATCCTGTAGGTATCTTTGAAAAGGAATTCTGTTGGGGTCTGAAGGCTACCTGAAACAAACTAATTAGGAACATAAAAAAAGAATAGTAAATGAGTCTGCTGAAGTTCAAAGTGCCCACACTATACAATTGGAAAGAAACCGAAGAAGCCAGATATCTAAAGAAACTATTTAATTGGAGTAACAGAGACTTGCATAACCCTTGTGGGGGTATAAAGCAGCAGTACTATTTCAAAAGCATTGGTGCTGCATTGTACATTAAGAACACACAGAATTTATGTAGTTTCAGGCCATAGGGAGATTCAGATCTTGGGGAAACTTCCATGCAATGATTGTAAAGTTCGAGATGAAAAAACCAGGAACACTCCCATGGTGGGGATCTGTTGCAAACCAGGGAGATCAGGGAGAAATGATTTTTCAAAACA